TGCTGAGGTAGTTTACCTGTTCAAATGTATCAAAGGAAGAGAAGTCAAAGCTTGTAAATAACGTCATGCTACCTTAATACATTTTCCTTTTATTAGTAGTCTTTCAAACTGTTGCCCAGTGCACTTTGATTTCATTTGAATTACTTACGTTATTGGAGGGGCATGTACAAGGGTGTTTACTAAGAACTACCTGTGTCATATATTGAATTGGCAAATGGATAGATCTAGAGTAGATTCGTGATTCCACATGAAAAGTTGCACATGCTCTGTGATCTCTGCTAACCTAAATGACAAATACTGTCATGTTTTGTGTGGCTCATTGTTTTGGCAATACGTTTTTATTTACATTTGTTTATTTTTTGTATTAAAGTTAACTTTTTTCCCAGGGAAAATTAGATTTGTACATGGAGAAAGCAATAGCTGGAGATACAGCAAGTTTTTCATTTGCAAATGCTGCAGTTAGGGTTTTGTCTTATTGAAAGTTTTGAAGTCTAAATAACACTTGCCAGACTTGTCTGGGTGGGTTTGTTTGTTTGCTTGTTTTATTTATATGCAAACTTTCAGCTAATGTATGGTAGTTTAGGTTTTATGAGAAAGAGAAGTTTCACCTGGAAGTGTCTTCTATAAATCACTATGAATGTCCATGTCCTTAATTATATTTCTCCTTATTACAGTTTATTACAAGTTTTATAGGCTTTTTAAAGCTTTCTTCATGATGTGTAGCCATAGAATGGGCTAAATCTAGGAAACTATAGGCTGCAGGAAGACTAGATATGTAAATAGCTCTGCTATGTTTGGAGGCTTTGAAAATAAAATTTGCCTCTGAGTAGCACTTCAATGAGGTATTTGTAGTGTTATGCAAAGGGGTGTACTATTGAAAAGGCTAAAGGCTGACAGAGTGAATGAAGGAGAGCCTTCCAATAGTGTGCTTCTTGGTGTGAAAAGTAAATGTATTTGTCAGCTGAGCAAAATCTGGCCTTTGAGGATGGTTTTTTTTTCTCCAGTACCTATGCCAGTCCTCAAAAAATTTTTTTATACAGCATATGTATAAAGAACAGAACAGTAATGCAGACTTCAGATACAGGTATGCATATAAGAATTTCATTTTTATATTAGGTTTTTTTTTATTTCTTTGGCAAGATCTTTTTCAGATTGTTATCTCTGACTGTTCTTTAATGGTTAGGTAAATTCAGCAATACTGGCGTAAGAATTCTCAGTAATATGACTCTTCATACTTTTTTTTTGGTGGTGGAAAGGCAAACTTCTTTTGTTTCCTTGGAGCAGATGTATGCAAATAGCTTTAGTTTTCTAATGTTTCCAGAAGGCTTTATCATGCATTTACTCTGGATGTTTGCCTGTACCATGCACACACACTATCCAACATGTCATTCAGGATGGAATACTTTAAATTTAAAACACTAATAGGAGTCATAAAAATCAAGTTTTTTAATAAAATTGTTTATATTACCTTAAGACTTAGTAAATCTAATTTTAAAATGCTTGTCGTTGCAGTTTAAAATGACAAAATTCTGCAGTAAGCTAATGTGACAGTCTTGACTTTTACAGAAATCTCATAGATAGAAATACTAAACTGATGGCTCTGATTTCTCTGTTCGTGAGCAAGCGTATAATTTCATTTATGTTATCGCATCATTGAATTCATTGTTTCTGTTCAGATATTAAAAATTTAAGATGTGTGTAACAGGCAAAAAAGCTTCATGGTAAACAGTGCAAAATTATGAAACTTTACATTCAATAAGCTATTGTTAGCTCATTTTTGTTAAAACACCTTAGCCTTTTTAAAGATAAAGAGGAGATCTTCAGATAACACCTGTTGTTAGCACTGTGTTGAACTGAGTGGAGATTAATGGTTTTAGGTGAGGGCTTTTAAAGCATTTGTGCGTTTTTATGAACATATGTTGCATCTACTTTAATCTGAAAAGTGCAACAGAAGTGTAGCTTGATCATAGCTATTAATTTCTCTTCATTTGTGTCAATTTAGTACATAGAAATGGAGTATCAGTTGCAGAAAAAGCATGGAGTATACACAGCAATTTTCTACTTGATATTTTTACCTAGTAAGGGTGTAAAGAGTTCCTACACTTGTCTCTATGGCCAGGGTAGACACTTAAAGATTGGACAGATATTGTAAAAGAAGAATTGTTGAATACACTAAATGAGACTGGAAAGCTGAAAAAACTAAATGAAGAAGGAATGCTCACATGAATAATGATTGGAAAAACAGATATATATTTCCCACTGATTTGAAGGAGCCCAAGATTTCATAGGAGAGCCACAGATATAAAATATAAACATTTGGCTACTTTTTATTTCAGACATTATGAAATTTCTATTTTTCATTAAAGGCTTTTCACATACACAAATCAGTTACCTGAAAATTGCCCACTTTGAGTGTATTAATTATTATTGGATGACCTATGATATTCTTAATGATTTTGATATGTATGACGTGTACTTACTCTATATGTTTTTGAATGACTGTCCTCAGCTATAATACTAGGGAAGTAGATCACGCTTATGATATACACACAAGAATAAAAATCAATGATTTGAATGTTCAGGGCTATACTTTCTAAAAACAAACCAAAATAGCAACAACAACAACAACGAACAAACACCACACACACACAGAAACAAAAGCAAAAACACTAATGGAAAATTTTAAAATATGTTACCTCTAAAATCAGCAACGGATATATCTCCAATATTTTGTGGAGAGGATTTGTTTCCTTCTTTTGTATATTATTACTAGAGACTTACTGCATAACATTTTTTCTGAGATAAGTTTAATTATTTCCCTTACCATTCTCTGGGATTTCATAGCAATTATCACAGCAATTAATTGTGATCTGCTATATGATGGTAATTTTAGAAGAAGGTGAAATCCTAACAATGGTGTTTTTTATGCAAATATTTATGTTAGTAATAACAACCTTATTTTCCTGCCAGCTTAGCTATCTACACACAGAGAGCAATCAGTATATCCCCTATTTGTAAGAAATAAAATGGAATTTATTCTATTTATCTTTCTATTTCTGCAGCATCTTTTGATCAGACTGGTCAGCTGTCTGAACGGAGCTTGAATAATATATGCTGAATATTTTTATACCTTTCTGGCCTGAAGCTATAACTATAAAATACATCTACATCACTCTTTCATATTTGTTTACAGATGCTTATATTTTGCTGAATTACATGAAGCCTTTGCTTTCATCAGAATGTTTAAAAGCAGAACAATGTTGGAATGACAGATTTTGGTTTTCTTACAAAATGATGCATTACATACTGCAAAAGCTGTTAAGAAGGAAATAACTGCTTAACTGTTAGGAATATGCATAATAATTATAACTTAATTTAATGAAAACAGATATTTTTCAGTAAATGCAACATTTTTCTAATATTTGCAGCAATTGATTATTTTACAATGATATATTTAGCCATGTCTACATTTGTATGTTAATAGTTTGGAGAAATAGATTTATGTTAAGAAACAGAAAAGTATATTGTTGATACTTCAGATGATTAGGTTATACTGCAGTGCACCACATGATAATATCACATTGCTATGGCAAATTGGGATTTATCATGTCAACAGATATTCATTAACTGCCTTTTAATTCTCTTGACATTCCATTAGTAGGAGGAGGCAACCATCCTCTTCTGGTTCCCTATGATACACTCACAGCCAAAGAAAAAGCCAAGGACAGAGAAAAAGCACAGGATATTCTGAAATTTCTACAGATTAATGGATATGTTGTCTCCAGGTAATTCTCCATTCAGTACTAATGTCACAGATGGTTTCTAAATATCCTCAGCTTTTCTTCTAGTAAAAAACAAAACAAAACAAAAACCTATGGTCAGTTTAAGGTTTCAGTAACTGAGAGTAAGGATCATTTATTTATATGGAACATTGTAAGGATGAATTGGATTATGGAGTTAGGACCAGGTCTGAGTAAAGCACAAGCAGAGTTCTCTGAAATGTCTGTGGACATTTTGCCTCCACTTTCAGTCTGTGTGTCTCCATACAGTCCAACTGTTAGCAAATTTGTTAACATTCTACTCATATCAAGTGGGGAAAATACAAATTATAGAATTATTAAGTCTTCATTGCAGGTCAGGCATTTGCATCTCTGTTTAGGATTTTCTAGGCAATTGTTTTGGTAAAAAAGAATTTTATTTCTAAAATCTATTGCTCATTTCTTTCAACTCAGTTGAAATATTTGCATGTTACTCTCTACAGAAGAATAAGCATGATTCTGTTTGGTCTTAATACGACTTTTTATTTTCACCTACTAAATATAGTAGGAGTAAAATTTTAATTACATTGGAGGTCTGTCTTTCTGTTCAGAATGGCTTAAAAAGTATGAATCACTGTCCAAGCCTGAAAGCCTATCTGAGATTTATATGACTTGGTGAACATTAGTAAGTGAATAGAACAGAGATGAATTTAAGAAGTCATTGTGAATTAATGAGTTTAGTACCTGCACCTAAAATCTGCCCACTTCTTTTCTTTTATATCACATATAAAATTGAATCCATGTATAGAGTCCCACAGCATATCTAATAGCTCTAGGCAGACTCTTTCAGGATAACTGGAATAATTCAATTTAGTTCCCTTTAGTGGAGTAGAAGGTACAGAGAGGGTTGTCAGTCAGCAAGTTTCTTTTCTCATCCCATGTCCTAATGACAAAAGATTCATCAGCCGTATTCAACCTCACATCTTCCTTTGGGCCTAATCTTTTTTTTTTTCTGTCTGTTTTGAGTACCAGTAGAAGTGGATTTTGGAGTGGCAGATTGAGAGGGATGGTGATATAATTGTTAGCTTGGGCATCCACCAGGTAGTCAGTAGTTCCTACCTTATGTACAGCCTCTTGTGCTGTCAAATACGTATCTTCTATCAAGTTAAACTCAATGTACTTGCTGCCCCTGTATGTGATCACTGTACTGACAAACAAACAAATCTGATAGTCTAGCATAGTTCATATTTTTCCTTGGTCTGCTTCCCAGTTAAAACCTTCTGCTACATATGCCTTGAAGTCATTCTTGCCCAGTCTTTTACTTGACTGTGACCATTCTAATTCATCCCTTATCCCTTCAAATCATAAAGTTCCTCTTTAACCTAGAGTAGGCACCCAGATAATTTTTAGATAAATTAATAATTAGGGAATTAATGTGATGTAGCTTACCTGTTAATGAGTGTAGAACAAGCAAAAACTGAATGTAAAATTTGTGGAGACAATCTCTTCTGCAATACAGAATAATCTTCAGTACAGAATAATCAGTTCCTGCCAGCCAGGAATGAAGTAAGTTCTTGTGGAGGATGTCGGATCACCACTGTACTAGCTCACAGCTTTGACCTCAGGGGTGGACCATGTGCTGGCAGTGTTCCTGATGCGGAAACTCAGCAAGATGGGCCATGTAAACACTGATCATTCCTAAGCTTTAGCACCTCCTAACGCCTTCAGTGACCATACTGTCACAAAACATTAAAACAGTATCAGCTGAGAAAGCTGTTTTAGTTCCAGAATCTCTCTTTCGGAAACTGAAACCTACCATCAACAATTGTGGACCAAGCAGCAGTTATGTCCAGAACGTATGCTTTTTTAACTTAAAAAAATAACAGAATACTAGCATACTTAGTGCCTGTGACAGTGCCTGACTCCCTTGCTGGTTAGGCATAGCTTCCTAATGTTCCGTCGTTAAAGCTCTGATCCTACGGAATCAAGGTGTTTGTCTTTACCAGCTGACAGACTGCAACCCACATCATAAAACTTCTCTGTGCAAAGTGATACCTGTCTGGTTGGAAGAGGATAGAGTTTCCATATCAGACTAGTAACAATGTTGAAACATACTGGATAAGGTAAATTTCAGTTCCATCACTTCATTGTTGTTCTCTGATTTTTCACAAATGCTCCGTAGCTATGCAAAGTGAGTTGATTTTAAACAGGTTCTTGGGGAGAAGCCTCTGTGAGGGAGACAAGATTTACTTTTAGCCTTAGTTGTTTAAATCAAGGTATTTTGGTCATTTGAAAACTTCCTAGCCCAAAATTCAATCCACAGAGGGCAATGTAAAACAGTAATGCCTGACAGTTAAGGGAAGAAAATTAAAATGACACTGGAGAGACTTATCTAGTCTCATTTTTCTGTAAACTTCTACTTGAGGAATCTGAATTTTACCTTGGAAAACTGATCAAAACCTAAGTAAGAGTATTGTCTACTGCAAATAGAGAAAATAATTGTCATTTTAACAGGCACTTAATTACTCTCAGAGGAAATGGCCTCAGACTATTTGTAGAGGTAAGGCTGCTCTGAGTCCTCCTTGCATGTGTGGAAATTCACTTGCTTCTTATTTCAGAGGACTGAAGGACCTGGAATTAGACACGCCTTCCATTGAGAAACGCTTTGCCTACAGTTTTCTTCAGCAGCTTATAAGATATGTGGATGAAGCTCATCAGTACATTCTGGAGTTTGGTATAGTAATTCTTACATCTTTTATTAACTATTGTTAACTAAGAAAGATGTTTGAGATTATAAAAACAATTAGACCATTTCCAAAAGTGACATATTCTTAGACAAGGAGTTTTTTTTTATTTCATGATGATGATGTTTTTTTGGAAGCTGTGTAGAAGATAACTTTGTGTAATTCACATATTGCTACCTATTTCCCAAATTCATTTTTTGCCTAAAGGTTTCAGATGAGAGGTGCTCAGCCAAGTTTTAACAACTTTCCTCCTTTGAATAACAAAACTAGCTCTCTGCTTGAATTTGTACACAAATTGATAACCTCTCACATGTGCACATTAATATTTACTACTCGCGTGTAATCACTTTTTCACAGAGCAAATTAAACTAGTCATTTGTATCAATCAGAACTTTTTTCTGGAGGAGGAGCTTGAATAGAGAAGCCTCTTTAATAAACTCTCACTGTAGGAAATGGTCTTTCACAAGCACCCAGCATGCACCTTAACAGTGCTATGAAAGAGACGGTTCAACCCAGTCTGCTTTTGTTAATAACAAAATAAAAGTTTGATGACCAAGATCAGCTTCTTATGTGAGTTGTAAAACCCCAGATCTTAGGTAGGTGCAGCTTCTGTGTGAATGTGGGAGTTGCAGAGCCATGTGACATACGCTATGTCTCATGCCTGGGCATGCATGCTATAATTTACAGTATTAATGGCAGGAACAGTGGGAAGATTGAATAAATCAATGCTCACCCAAAAACTTACCTAGTTTTAAAGTGGAAATTGCCAAATTTGTGAATGTTTCTATGCCATAGTTACTTGTAGTAGCAAAAGCTTGGCCTTGGTAACATGCTGGGTTACTTCTGTAAGTAAGCCTGATTATCGTGGCTTCGTTTTCTACTTAATTTTATAGTTTTTTGCATAACTGCAAGAAATATAATGAATAAATAATGGAACATTAGAAACGGTGTTGGAACAAATGTCATTCATGTACCTCAGTGAAGAAGTAAAAAGAAGATAATGAATAAATGATAAATAGTTTATCCCCTAAAATTTACTGCTAAATCAGTTCTCATGATTGGGAGTTGTATGAGATTATGTCTCAAAATAGTATTTGAGTTTTACAGTAGTGGGGGAAGTGAAACAAGTTTAATCTTAGATAGATAGTTCTGTTGACGAATTTCTGTTGGGCAGTTGTTCATTAATTTTGTTCTTTAGACAGAAAGTCCATAGAAATGTAATACAAACCTGGTCATTTTGTTTCTGCTGTGGACTATGGGAGAGATGTTTTGAATTAGACTGAGAGTTCATTATGTTATTACTTCTGTAAGGTGTGCTGGGTTTCTCTAAGCTAACATAAATTCTGTGAAATTCAGGTGCATGAGATAACGTAGAAATAAGATTTCTCTCATGCCCTTACTATAAAGTAATACTTACTTTAAGTCCTAACATAAGAACTATCCTAATGTATTTGTTGTTATACTTAGCTTATTTCCTGGTTGAGCAAGGCCTTCCAAGGGTGTTACCAATAACTAGAAAAATAAGAATGTATGACCCGATTTTCAGCTCACGTAAATATCCATCTCTGTGGACTATGAGAGGTCTATAGTAATATATATGTCTGTGAAGATTTGGGCAGTTATTCTCTGCCCATGTTATTTGCTTTATATTATTATTTATATTTTTTACTTTAACTTTTGTTGTTGTGAAGTAGTCATAAAATGCCTCTTTAACTAGTGTGTATATCTCCTGTGGTATCTTAAATCTGCATATAAAGAACACTAGTTTTATTCATTTACAGTGTACACTTTTTAAGAAAAATATAGACCAGACTAATTACAATATGCAATACGGAGCTTAATTTTTTTCTCTCTGCAGATGGTGGCAGCAGAGGCAAAGGAGAGCACTTCCCATACGAACAAGAAATCAAGTTCTTCGCCAAAGTACAGTATATCTTTGCTCATTCCTTGTCACTGTAGTAGGTAGCTCAAGTGAGCAAGTATTTATTAGTGAGCATGGTTATTGCTGTTATGTAAGAAAATACTCTTATGTATTACTCTTACGTAAGAAAAAACTATGGCATGAAGTACAGATGTGAAAAAACGTACAGGACTGTATTCTTTTCTCGGTATTCCCTTCCTCCATGGTAAACAGTTCACATGATTAACCTCCCTACATTTTCTTTTTACTGGCTAATTCTGAAGATTATTCTCTTTTACAGTCTTCAGGTAGTTAAGTGTGAGCAATAGTCATTGGAATGAACACAGCCCGGTATCTTTCAATGTCACCTTCATTATATTTCCTTCCTTGTATTAAAACCTTGCTGATGTCTCTTTGTGCCAAAAAGGCACAAAATATATGTCTTATATATTTGTCTTATATAAATTAAGAAAATCTGCTTACACTTCTGGCACTCAGAAGGTTGCATGGTGTGTGTATATCTAAAGTGCCTTTTCAATTCGTTAATGAATAAGCAAAGACAGGTGTTTGCAGCATTCTCTGGCCCTCATACCTTTGCAGTAAATTGTAATCTAATTACTTAAAAGTACTACTGTACAATACTATCTGCAAGTTCATCCACTGGGAAGCTAACATTGTCAATAAGAAAAAAAAAGAAGTAAATAAAAAACCTCTGTAGACTAGCCCTCAATGAGCGAGGATGCTTTTGGATAAAAGAATTTTATTTGATAGTGTGTAACATTAAATGCTGTTAGTGAGCTGGCAGATGTAACTGAATTTTTCCTAGCCTTACATTTAAAGGTCCAGAGAACAGTGGTTGTGTCTGAGTACGTAGTACAGAACAAATTTTAAGGTGTAAAATAAAATTAACTTGTACTTCTTGCTTTGTGCCTCCGTTAAGAAGCACAGATCAATTTCCAGAGAAAATGTAGAATATTTGTCGTGTGCCTTTTCTAATGATTTTTAAAGTACTTCTTTGAAAAATAAAGAAATTCAAACAGAAATAGGCATTAAAGAAAAAACGTAAACGGAATTTGATCAGAAAACACATTTGAAATCTCTTGTCTCTAGTTGTGACTTGTAAAGAGTGATACAAACATAGTACAGAAAGTCCTCAGATAATCACTTGTTTCTGATGTAATTTCAGGTTGTGCTCCCTTTGATTGATCAGTATTTCAAAAATCATCGCCTCTATTTCTTATCTGCAGCAAGTAGGCCTCTCAGCAGTGGAGGCCATGCCTCTAATAAGGAAAAAGAAATGGTGACAAGGTAAAATTTAAAATAATATAAATATATATGTATATGTGTGTGTGTGTAAAGAACAGCAGTTTGTTCTGGGAAAGTGTTTAGTTACTTGAGAGGTGAGGGGCAGAGAAATATCTTTATGAATGCACAAATTAAGCTTTTCATTTTCTTTACCCTTAAGAAAATCAACTGTAAAATACAGAGGAAAATCCATACACTTATGATTATGTGGGATTTTTTTGTTGTTTTTTAAGTTAGCTGTAGTTACATTAGCATGCAGGAACTGAAGTTTAGCAGCATGTGCAACAGTGCATCAGTTGCACAGACTGTTGCACAGGCTATATAACTGTGTATCAGGTCTCACTGTTAGAAATAGGTATATAGAGAAGTCATTAATCTTGCAAAATTTCATGATAGATTTGAAAGCACACCTTACCTATAACTGAGTTTCAGAAAGTAGTATTGTTACCATCCGCTGTAAAAAGTAAAAACGCTTTGTAATAGAGAGCTGCACTCTTTATGCTGTTTGATTTTCTTAATACTGGGAATAGTACTAACATGACATACATCTCAGCTTGATCCTTCTGAAGTTATCCATTTGTAGACTGTCTCTCCAAGATATATTTTCACTTAATCTTGCTTCTGATTGAATTGAAACCCACATCCCCTGTTTAGTAAGGTGCATTATAAGCTTAACAAAGGACTTAATGCCGGCTGTTATTGCATACTAAACCATGCAAAACTGAACTGCCGCTGCTTGAGGCAGGCAGCCAATTGAGTCATACAGACATGGAGGGTTTGTAAGATTGTATGACCACAGAATCACAGAATGGTTTAGGTTGGAAGGGACCTCTGGAGATCATCTAGTGCAACCTCCCTGCTCAAGCAGGGTCCTCTAGAGCATATTTCCCAGGATCACATCCAGACGGGCTTTGAATATCTCCAGGGAAGGAGACTCCACTACCTCTCTGGGCAACCTGTTCCAAGGCTCAGTCACCCTCACAGGAAAGAAGTTTTTCCTCAGGTTCAGATGGAACTTCCTGTGGTTCAGTTTCTGCCTGTTGCCTCTTGTCCTGTCGCTGGGCACCACCGAGAAGAGACTGGCCTCATCCTCTTGACACTCCCCCTTCAGATA